ATTCGGCCTGCAGGATATTATGTAACGCGTGCCAGCGGCTTATTCCCAGCTCCATTACCGCAAGATTCGGCATGTTGCGATCGTGCTGTTCGATATTTCTGGTTCCTAGGAGTCTTCTTAGCCAAAGTTCTCCAGGATAATAGATTAGTAGATTTACCGTTATCCCGTCCATTCTTAAAATTAATGTGCCGTGGTGATATCTCGAACAATGTCAATGAAAAAATCGGTCTTACCGGTGTTACGCAAGAAAGCATGTCGTCTAGTATGTCGAGTAGCTTTATATCGGAAGAAGGAGAAAATGACGCTGCGTACTCTTCGTTAGAGCCCTGTCCATGGTACGCTGATTTATTAGATATAGAAGATCTTGTCGAAGTGGATCCTGTAAGAGGAGAGTTTCTAAGAGAAATACAAAATGCGATCACGAAACGTGATAGAACTTTTTCCGATGGTCCAAACTCCGCTGACGAAGAAACATCATTACATATTATTCATCCATCGGGTACTTCAGTGGCTATCGAAGATTTAGCGTTAACTATGACATATTCACCAAGTTCGAAAGTTTTTCAACATGATCAAGTGGAATTGGTAGAAAATGGCTCGGATATCGCAGTGACAATAGAAAATGCAAGAGAATACGCGAATCTTACGATCAATTACTGCCTTAACCAGGGAATCTATCGACAACTTGAAGCGTTCAAGTCGGGCTTTTCAAAAGTCTTTCCGATGGAAAAACTTCATGTTTTTAGTCCAGATGAAATGAGAGCGATGCTTTGTGGAGAACAGAATCCACAATGGACGAGAGAAGATTTGCTCAATTACACCGAGCCAAAACTAGGATACACGAAGGAAAGGTAAGGCGGTAATCGACATATTTTTATATGATAAACTTGTTACGAGGAAAGTCTGCACGTATTGTCCTCGAAAGTAAAGCTGGATTATCTGGCTCATAATGTTGATCACAGCGTCAGCTTTCATTTAATTTGTTTCAGCCCTGGTTTCCAAAGATTTGTCAACGTGCTGTTATCATTGACTGGATCTGAAAGAAAAGCATTCTTACAATTTGCCACCGGTTGTTCGGCTTTACCTCCAGGAGGTTTATGTAATCTACATCCCAGATTGACTGTCGTACGAAAAGTAGACGCTGGTTCTGGTGGTTATCCTTCTGTTAATACCTGTGTTCATTACTTAAAATTACCAGAATATCCTACCGAGGAAATTCTAAAAGAAAGGCTATTGGCTGCTACCCGAGAAAGAGGGTTTCATTTGAATTAAATTGATTCTCTTGCCCTAAGATTTAAATTAGTAGATTATACAGAAAAAAAGATATATTTAACAAATCGATATGTATGTACGCTGTGTATGTAAGAGCAAGTGTACGGCCTTTATTATAATTCGATAACTTTATTTTTCTGATACGAATTCGTATGAATAGACAGCAACTTAGCAATTGGAGACGGAAACTTTGTCTCTACAAAAATGTCTATAATGTTAAATATGTTCCTTTGGTATTTTATATCACCTGCGTATCTTATTTCTTTTTTAAATTTAAATGAAAAACGATTTCACACATCACCTATTCTTTCCCTTATGCTCTTTTTTTCTTTGTTTTTTTTTTTTTTTTTTTTTTTTTGTCTTTTTTTGGTAATAAATGTACATTCTAATACTTTAGTAAATCCGTGATCGCATCATCAAAGCATGAAAGCATTTATCACTCGATGCTTCAAGCTCTCTTAAAATCATATTGGTTTTCTGTATATTGACATCTTTGTAATATTTCATATACATATATATAAAGTATAGATAGGAGACAAAAAAAATATATATATATATATATATATATATATATATATGATATACATATTTATACTTAATGTGTAATTTCTTGGCGTGAATTAGTAAATATCCTCATTTTATTTTACCACAAATATTGTTAGTTGTTGAATCTAACGATTTATGAGCTATAATTAATCAGATTTTCGCAACATAATTATGCCTTAACATATATTACGTTATAACAACACTATGACAGTATTGCCTTTTTTTTTGTACATTGCATATCGAAAATAATTTGTTTAAGCGTGCACGTACGCACATACGCGCACAAGCGTACAAGCGTACAAGCGTACAAGCGTACAAGCGTACATAGATGCATGCATGCGTGTACAACTGCAGTGCGTTCGTGCACGTATATGTTGATAAGAATCGAACATCTAAAAGGCATTGAAGATAACGTAGTTCGAGACGTTAATAGCATAAACTATTATGAAACTTAAACTTCGAATTAGAAGGCTGTATCTTTTCCTAAAATGTCTCTACATGAATGGATTTCAAATATATTTGCTAAATTCGTAAAAACTTGAGTCTCACTTGAATATTCATATTATCTTTATCGAAAATGTTATCGTACTATGAGAAAATAGTGCAATAGACAAAACATCTAATTGCATAAATATGTACATTTAGCAAATTTTCTATTCTCTTTATTATGAAAATACTCGTAAACATGGGTTATGTAAAACACGGATTATCGTGTGCACGGATATGTATGCGAAGAGAATTATGTAAATCAAAATTGACATATATTTGCAAAATAATTTTTCATCGACAATAGCGAAAATGTTTCGTATGTAATATGTAAACCAATGTTTACAGCTTTCAAATATCTGCTCCTTATAATTATGTGTATTTGTACATCGTAACTAACTCCTAAATATTCTAAATGCAAGAATGTCTCTTTAAATGTGAAACGAAAGAAAAAGTGTGTTGCGATATTACGTCGCGAGCATTACTAGAATCAGGGATAAACTGAACATTGCATTATCCAATTGCATCCTTGTATAATATACTACTTAATGCTCACGCGCGCGATAATTAAAGATAATAGAAAAAATACGAAATACATAGTTATAATAATAGATTTTAAGAAATAAAATATAAAAATAATATAAATGTGAGAAAAGATTGAATATGACATTGACACTGAAAAATATTACATTATTGTAACATAAATTATTCTCATGAAGCAGATGAATAAAACCAAAAAAATATCGTAAAGTATAATATATTTCCCGATATATACCTTTATTACAAGTTTTATAAAGTCTATACATATATATTATGTATATCGTACATCATGTACATTAACTTATGTATATGATTTATAACAGTATATCTGTAACATTTATACCATGTTAATAATTATGTATTGTGTATTAACACCACTTCTACATCCGTTCAAATTATTTCATCTAATATATTTACATAGAGTTATACATTATACATTATGTGGCGTTTCAAAATTTGAGTAAAAACATTGCAACATTGCAAACATGTGCATTATCGCAATTTTTTGTTTAACATCGATTAATGCGTGCCAAATATCTAATTACCAACATCAGTAATTTAGACTTTTCAGACTTAATAATCTGCATATACAATTGTTCAAAGATGTCATTATATTTGTGTCATATCTCAAAGCAAAAGTATAAAAATTTCATAGATTGTTCTATTATTACATCTAAGTAACTGTGCAAAATTTGAGCACAATTCTCTTATTGATTTAAGTTATTTAATTTTTTTATCTTGATTCTTAAAATCACATTTTGTAATACTCGTTTACAAATTTGATGAGAAAGCATTACGAATTAAATCAAATTTTTTACATATAAAGCTCTAATAAATATTCGTACAAAAGTTCATTTGAATCCCACTTACTCATTTAAAAGTTATTTACTTAAAAGTGCAGTAAAATGTGTGCAATATGCAATACACACACAAATGTATGTATATATAAAATAAACTAAATTATTTTGTTTTGATTTTGCAATTGATTTCAGGGCGTATTCAAAACCAAAATTTTTTGTCATTAAGAAAAAATCTATAAAAAAAATTTTTTAAATTTTTAGCTGGTAATATATAGTTACATCATTAATCAACTCGTTATACATTTAATAAACGACACAAATTTTATTTTATGTCCATCTATCGAAAACAACATGTTCAAGATACCCGCAATATTATATCCATTATTTGGCTTTTTCTTAAATTTTATTGTTGCAGAAATTCTTTCACATTCAATTTTTGAGACGCCTTATATACGTATGACATTTATGCATAATGATATAGATGCGTGAGTGCGTGAGCATCCATGCACATATAATGCATGTATACATACATACACGCCTGCGCGCGCGCGCGCGCGCGCGTGCAAATACATGCATACAATGTATGTGTTTGTTTCAATTATGTATGTGTGTATCATACAGCATAATGATGCATTTCATAACTTTGCTAACGCAAATTTCTTTTGCATTTCATCATTTTGAACTAATGTTACTAGTCACTTTTTTAATACGTTGTTTGCTTCAAGACGTTCTTCCTCCAATTCCTTGGATGTAATATCTAGTTTGGATTTTGCAAAGTTGCTTATTGAGAGATTCTGAAATAGATTGTAAATTAAGATATTAAGTATATTTTTTCCAGAGTATTTTATTATTTTTCTATAAATGTGTATAGCATATTGTATTTACTTTTAATAATTTTTTGAAAATATTTAAAATTTGTAAAAAAACAAATCGCTAGATTCGTTAACATAGAATATAGAATATATCAGAATTTTTAAAAAATTTTACGGATAAGAAAAGGAGCGTGATATCAAGACGTTCGTATATTATCATATATATCTAAATAAATACTTTACGTTGATAACTTACTTGCACTATCTCATACTGTTTATTCTTGATAATAACAGGAAAGGAAAATACAATATCTTTTGGAATTCCGTAACTCCCATCGGATATAACACCCATGCTAACCCACTCTCCAGGCTTAGTACCAAACCACCAATCTCTCATATGATCTCCAGCAGCTTTAGCGGCAGACATGGCGGAAGACATTTTTCTGGCAGCTATTACAGCGGCGCCACGTTTCTGAATCATTTCTACGAAGATATTATTCAACCATTCGTCATCGTTTATTTCAGATGACACCATTTTTACACCGGATGAAAGCTCTACGGTTGCATGTGCCGCATCAGGATATTGCGTAGAACTATGATTACCCCAGATAATAACATTCTTTATTTTATCAACCTGTGATATCAATAAAAAATATAGCACAGAATTGTGACACACACACACACGACGCGCGCGCGCGCATTATATATGTATACATACATACATATTGTGTGTGTGTGTGTGTGTGTGTGTGTGTGTGTGTGCGCGCGCGCGCGCGCGCGTGTGTGTGTCATATATATGTATACACATATCACATATGAATTCGAATACAGTAGTCTTGTATTTATGACTAGAAAGAAAATCTCAAAAAATCAAGAAATATAAGAGATGTATCACAAAATAGTAATGTTTCATCCATGAACATTTCGAGTCTTAAACATTGACAATATATATTACCTGCACGTTTAATTTTGCAGCTAATGCCGCTTGTGCTCTGTTTTGATCCAATCTAGTCATTGCAGTAAAATTTTCTTTCGGAATGGACGGTGCATAATGCGAACAGATAAGGGCGTTAGTGTTAGCGGGATTACCTACAACTAGCACCTTGACATCCTTACGAGCATATTTATCCAATGCTTCACCTTGCACTTTAAAAATGTCTACATTTGCAGCCAGAAGATCTTTACGTTCCATTCCTTCTTTTCTTGGCATTGCGCCAACCAGAAAAGCAGCTGCTACGTCATTAAAGGCCTTGGCTGGTTCAGCCGTTGGTAAAATCTCTGAAAATTTTAATTAAACTGCTTATAATTATATAAGATGCCAACTTACTTAAAAATATAAAAGTGATAGTACAAGTCAGAATAGATATTTGTACAGCAGTATGTTATATAATATATTTCATATCTCTTATATCTTTTCAATATAGATTCATCAAATATGAAAGTCTTTACTTATTGATTTATAATAGTCCATATTTATTGATTTCATAAAAAATAACAGATAATTGCTGTTGCTTTGTTTAAAAAACTTTTTCTTTTGAAACACAACTTTGCTAAAATATTAAAATTTTATCCAAAAGACTACTATAACTTACATAGATGTCCAAATAACTAACATTTCACATATATACAAGCATTATTTAATATATTTCATATATAAAACTTATTTTTAAATATATTTAATTTTAAATATATAAACTTTTGATGTTTGCCCACCTTGTAAAAGAGGAAATGCCAAATCTTCCAGTTCCATAACCACACCATCCAATACTTTCATCATAGGTGGAATATCTAATAATCGGAGAATAATTGGTTGTTTTGGACCGAAAACTGTACCAACTGCAATCTGATACAGTAAAGAATAAGCGATTTGTCCAGCAGCACCAGTAACCACAACATTTATAGGTTCCGCCTAATAAAAAATAAAAAAGATTGAAACATTATCTCTTAAAACAATTATCTTACATTTTAATAATTTTAATAATTGTATCGTGAAATATAAAATTTTTTCTAGTATACTATGTATTATCAATCGTACTATGTTCGATTTAACATAATGTACCTATTTTCTATAATTACTTGTTTCTCACAAGTATAAAGCAAAAAGGAAAGTTTAATATCCAAAGGATATATTTACATATATGTGTATTACATATATGTGTATATATATATATATATATATATATATATATATATATATATATATATATATATGATGAATTTTTTAACATCTTGTGTACGTGTATATAAATATTTTATTTATGAAACTATATAATCATATATTCTACGTACAAATCTGAACATTTAACAGAATAACATATACATATGAGAATCATTAACAAATGGATTAATATACATTCAGGATTCTATGCGAAGGTCAAATAAAGGTGAGATTAAAGCTACAAGAGATTAAAGCTACTTAAACACTAAAATAATTTTATTCATATTGTTCTTTTTATATCAACACAGTACGTGATATATAAAACTTACCATTCTTCTTGAAAAGTGATTATTAGCGGATTAATAGAAAAAATTACTTGATATCTAATATCCAAAATACTGCAATTAACTGAAAGAATAAATGGCGAGTGACTAGAACCGAACTGGAAAATGATGCCAACCAATGTGAATAGTCATCAACCAAGCGAACTCAAATGGCAGTCACGAGTTTTTATGCGCCTCCGGCTCTACTAGAGTGCGCCAGTATCACTAAAAATAATGTTTATTCTCATAAGTATTGAAAAATTCTATGCCTTTACTGGTTTTACCGATAATTTTATTATAATTATTAACAGTTACTTATGAATTAATAATTTCAGAATATTCACTCTGACTAGTGTTTGTCAGTGTTGAATAGTATGTTTAATAATATTTGCAGAAGGTGAATCGAGTGGTTTCGTTGCAAACAAGATCGAAGTGCATCGAATAGCTTCATTGTGGATATATGCATAAATATTTTGATAATTACATTACATGATTACATTTTTTTATATATTTTATTATTAAAATTTATTATTTTTTATATATTTAATATTTTCCTTAAAATATAAATTTTATTTTGCTTGTTTATAATAAATTATAATATTTTTAACATATTTTTAAATGTGTGCCTTTCTTTATATATTTATATTCCTTTTTTAAACATAATTTTATATAATGTAATCTAATAATTAATTTTATTTTATTATTATGTGTAACACATTGTATTTAAAAGTAATTTCTTAATTTCACTTATATGTATTCATGTAATTATATGCGACATATAACTGAGAAAAGAAAATTCGATGTAAAATAACTTCATTTTTGTTTTTATATATTTAGAAGTATTTTTCAATTTTATATATATATATACACACAAGCAAACAAATCGGTGGTTTACCAATCACAAAACTGTTTAAATGAAAAGAAATAACAAAAATCGTTTGGCTATCCACTTGATCTGCTTACGCGTCATGGGACTACGGAACGAAACTCTCGCGTATCGAAAATAGCGGAAAGTTCGCAATTGATCCGATTTTCGATACGCGCGATACACACATTAGGGGCGATACATTAAAGAATTTGCTGATCGATTTTGCGCAATATGTGATGTGTTTCTTTGTCTTTCGAAAGATTGATCGCATTTTTGCGATATTGCGCTTCTGCTGCCTTTCGAAAAACGTTTTTCAAAACTTTCTGTTGTCATGCGGGGTACTTTTATTATTAGTTGTAGATCTGGCTACAACAAATGGAAACATGACGGTGAAAACTCATCGAGATCTAATTTTAAAATAATTTAAATTTCAAGCTAAAATCTTATCTTTATTAATTACACACTCTCTTCTTTACTCTTAAGTATCATTATTATTCTCTATATAATTTAAATTCTCACTGAGCTTATAATCCTCCATTGTGTTCTCATTATAAAGCTTCAAGACATTTGTAAGATTTGTCTTTTTGTGTTTAGTTCTTGTATCTGACTTCATACATATTTTATATCCTTTCAAAATTGGCCATCTCTGCTTTTCCTTGAGATACTTTGCTGCTATTTGAATATTTTCCATTTTAACTATTGCGCTCCTGTATGAATATATATATATATATATATATTATACATATGTGAAGAATTTGATATACATATATATTACAGTAATATTAGCAGAGATAAAATTTTATTTACCTAAAGTCTTTATTATAAGGTTTTAATAAGGTTACACGAACACACCCAGGAATGGCACCTCGTATTTCATGCACTTTTGTTCCATTTGCTATGTTTGAGATAAATAGCCTATGTGTAAAGAAACAATAAAATAATAATTTTTTATAAATAATGATAAAACAAAACCATGATTCAAGTAAAAGTATTCTCACGTTTGTGTAATTTTAATATCTGGTTTAATTTCAGGTATAAAAATTTTCTTTTTTATCTTCCTGTCTTTTGTATCTTTCACAAATGCAAGATCATGTAGTGATTGAATAACAATTCGTTTCCCATTAACCGTTTTATTTTTTGCATGTTTGTAGTTGTTAAGTTTTTCCTCCACGGTAGAAAAGACGACGTGACACGATCTGCTAGATTGTCTTGGCAGTTTCACGTAAAAATTACCTTCAAATAAACTTTCAATGTCTTTTTTGTCTTTTATTGTGTAGGGAAGACGGACGTTCAATGTTCGTTCTCTTCGTCTTTTTAATTGGGATAATTTCCGAAACTTGCGCATAACCTAAAAATTATTTTATTTATTATCGTCTTTCAAGAACGGAGATTAAACGCTTCAGTAAAAATAAATGATATTAAGATAAAACAAACATATATGTATGTAACATATGTATATGATATAATTTAATAGAAAATTACACTTACGTTAATTAATAACCAATTAGCACAGCATTTGTACAGTAAGGATTCTACCATAGACATAGTATAGATAGACCGAGCATGCTCTATACCAGGTAATGTGCGAGTGAGAAAAAACAATACCTAATTTTTTTTTCTCTCTCTTTCTAATAGCAGAAGGTGGGGGAAACATTAAGTGGGGACTGTGTGTATGATTCCTATCGTAGACTAGGCTTAAATGTCGGTCCACAATAGGTGATAAGCTTTAAGAAGTAAGAAATTGATCAATCATAAATGTCGGTCCACAATAAGTATTAATCTTTAAGTCGTAAGAAATTGATCAATCATAGTCGATTATTTTTTTCATATTCGATTATAATTAGTCAATTTCTTACTTCTTAAATCACCTATTGTGGACCGACACTAATCGAATATGAAAAGAATAATCACTTATGATAGGTCAATTTCTTAAAGATTAAATATTATTGAATACTATTGTGGACCGAGACTTATGTTGATTTCCTTACTGCTTAAGTCTTTTTAGTGTCGCTTAGTTTTCGCTGTATGTGAAAAGTTTCACGTGAAATGTTAAGGTGTGAAAAATGAAAAATAAAAAGTAAAAAATAAAAAGTACAAAATTTCACGCAAAGTTACACGATTGACCTCTTGATCCGTCAATCAGAGACTCTGATCCGCCATGTTTTGGCTAAATCCTAGATACCTCATACTATTATACTACTGTTACACTATAATATTTTTAACTTTTTGATACACAATTGTTAAAATGATCCTCTGTAAAATCAATACAATGACAGCTATTCATAAAGTTAGCGCAACGAGAAAATCCATCGCGGAAAAGCGCCAACAATAAACTTCGAAGAAATTTCGAGAGATGCAAGTATGTTATGTCTTTTTTTTAGAAAGAATTATTATACATATTTATTATTATTATAAACAAACTTTATTACAATATAAAATAAAATTTAAATAAAATTAAAATAAAGTAAAAAAATGAACATCCACCCATTTTTTTATATTGATTTATCACAATTAATTGTGAATATATTTTGCAATTTTAATATTTTTATTATTTAATAATATATTATCACGCTTTCCGCGTGTTTAATACACATGCACAATACACTTAAATCAATGCACATGCAAAGTAAAAAATATTATTATCGTTAGAATAAGATATTTGGTGTATATTTCTTTCACTCTACCAAAACGTTATTGGTTAGAGTGAGATGGTGTATATTTCTTTCTTTCTCGTAGGATTTAGCCAAAACATGGCGGATCAGAGTCTCTGATTGACGGATCAGAGTCGTGGCCAGTCTCTAATTATAGTGTCTCTAAATCCAGCAAGATATTCAAATTGCTCGGTTCAATTGCTCGGTTCATTTAATG